GCCACCTTTTGGATGTAGTGGAAATGAAAGTTCAGATCCTGGATGTACAGCCAACCAATACAAAAGAATCGCGTGATGCTATAACAGCAAAATAAAGATCTAAATCATAGAACCAAATTTCCAAAGAATACGTCCAGAATATGTCCACATCCATGTCACGAATAACTGAGACGATTCCAAAGGCAAAATGGTGACCGACCCGATACTAGAAGAATATACCTAATTATGTGAACGGTGAATTTACTAAGCACAGTAGAACAGAAAGTTATCGGAAGATAATCGAATTGGGAAGATTGTGACGCGCCAGCTGAAGTGTGATAATTCTTTCGACTTTACTTTATGCTTATTTTCCAAGCAATAATATTTCTTAACGTTAATCTTCTAATTGGGTATCCGTTAAAAATCTGCATTATGAAAATATTAACACCGAGGAATGCTATCAGTCAAAAGAATTCCTAACGTCAAATTTCAGATCTAACAGATATGCGATATCAGTGGCAGATAAAAACTGATGACCAATACCTGCTGCTCGAGACAGTCGCAGGAATGTCGGCTGTCTGCGAAAGACGACTGACATGCATACCAACATTCCCGGTCTAACTTGGACAAGAAGCGACTCCATTTTTATCAGACTGACAGCTGGGAGTTGAGAAGTAAAAGAAACTCTATAAAGATGATTTGGAAAGAGAAAGGAAAAAGATATATATGAAAAGATGAATACAACGGAAGAAGTAATCAGAGGAAAAAAAATCTCATAGTAGGCGGAAGTGTCTCATTGAGGTGGCATGTTTGTGAAACGTTGAAGGATTGAATTAAAAATGAAAAAGGAATAAAAGAAAACAATCGGAAAAAAAATTAAGTGAAAGAGCGTTTGGTTTGAAGAGAAAAATTGGAAGAACTGGAAGAAATAAAATTGTGTAAAGAAAGTAGATGTTCTATAAGGCAGAAATGTTGAGTTGTTTTTATCATTTCACCTCAAGTAAGGAGATAGCGTCACTAGAACGCAAGGTCTACAGTGTAAGTGAATGAGAAGATTGAAAATGAGGATGATTGAGGAAACTGCAAAAAAGAAACAAGCTTCAAGATGACAGAAGATGACGACTGATGTTGCATTTAAATTTTTGAAGATTGTAGTTATCAGGGAAGTAAGAAATCAGAAGGGAGTTCCTCAGGTGACAAGTGTGAGGTAAAAAAAACTGTTACAATAGAAGTGATGGTGGCACCTAGCTAGTTCAACAGTAAAGCGGACAAACCTATCAGGTCACCCCATAAGTTCTGTCCGAATTTTGAATAAAGAAAACAAGTGACCAAATGTTACATTTAATTACAGATTCAATCAACAATGTATTTTCCCTGATTATCTATGACTTCCTTCCATCTATTAACAAGCTTACTATTTCCATTACTTTAAAATTCTTTTGGCTTTGATTCGAAGAATTCACAAATGTCAGTTTTAACCTCTTCCTGTGTTACAAAAGCTGTTTCTTCCAAATGATTCTGTAAGCTACGAAACAAATGGTAGTCTGAAGGAGTAAGATCGGGAGAATAAGGTGGATGAGGAATTTTCTCCCAACCAAGTTCTTCGATCTTTTTTGACGTGATTCTTGCTGTGTTGGGTCGCGCATTGTCCTGATAATCACTAGAGCAGGTCTTTTTTTCCTCAAAACTTGGTTCAAACGCTCAAATTGCTGACAGTATATTTGAGCATTAATTGTTGCATTAGGTGGTAAGAATTCAAAGTGGATTATTCCTTGGCGATCCCACCAGATTGAAAGAAGAACCTTTTGCCCATGAAGTTCCCTTCTCGGCTGTGACTGGTGTCCTTCCCCTTAACCAAGCCACTGTCTACGACGCTTAACATTTCGATAAAAGATCCATTTTTCGTCGCCAGTCACAAGCCTATCCAAAAAAGGTGAAACAAGTTGGCGAGAATGGAGAGAAGATCAGATGTCAACTCGGGATTTGAGGTTGTTTTCAGACAATTCATGAGGCACCCATTTTCCAAGTTTAGGAACTTTTTCAAGCTGTTGAAGATTGTGGCACCTTGCATTATTAGAAATATTCATAGAAATATGATTTAATTTGTTTTACTCGGTTTACTAAACAGGTTGTTGATTTTTTTTTTAAACGGAAAATAATTGAATTGAAAATAATTCACTAAGATTGTACTTAGACGATCCTAAGGGAGAAGAGGAAAGAAGAAAAAGGAAAAGAAGGAAGATAGAAAGAAGGAAAGAGAGGGTCAAGAAATGCAAAAAGCGGTCATTAACAAAAACACGTATCGGAAAGGTATTTAGGTCAACATCTTGGCCGATTTTTCGAGAGACAATGAAAAGAAATATTATTTAGAAGGAAAGTCATTTTGATAAGAATGTCGGTCGAAGCGCATGACCGACTTTTGCGTAGAAAGACTCATTATCAATTTGGAGTAAAGGGAAATTTAGAACAATGGGAACGAAATCTTAATCTGGAGAAAGGGAAATTTTAGAACAATAGAAACGAAATTTTTTTTTAATCGGAGAAAAAAGTGTCTTTTTTGGGTTGGGGGGAGTGACCGGTGGAACTATATACAGATTCTGACCTATTAAGAATTGGAAACCCATGATAACAAAGTGGGGACATTTTCAATGTAGATAATTAAGATTTTCTGACTGTCGGGTCTGACAAAAACAAGAGGTGAAAAAACGATTGTCTCAGTTCACAGATAGCGCCAATATTCTTCCCTGAAGTCACATCTAATTAGCGGCGGGCTGTTTTGACAGAGCCCAGGTGAGAAAAAGCCAAGATTGTCATTTTTTCGTACGTGCAAAAAAAGGCAAAATTAGATTTTGTTTTTTTTAAAACAAGAACGATGTAAACCACGCCCAACCACAATCTCATTAGCCGAAAGCGGTCACGTGATATGCGGAAAGAAGAGAAAGGATGCTCGATCAAGAACCATTGGTCGGAAACGGTCACGTGATCTGCGGAAAAGAAGAGAAAGAAGTGCTCGATCAGGAATCATTGGTCGAGAGCGGTCACCTGACATACGAGGGACCGGGAAAGATGGGTGTGCGCCTCCCCACCAAGGGCACTGTGAGGAAGTAGGGTGAAAACAATAGCGATAATGAGAAGACAGAAATAATGCGACTTTTGGAGTTATCGAGAAAACCCTGACGCCGACAGACCCACCCCAGTTTGTTGCGGCGTCAATAAAAGCAGGACCCCAGTCGACAGAAATCAGTTGGAGTGGAGTTGCAGCTGGACCGCGGGCAGGGAAAGAGCCTGAACGCGGGCATCGGGCCCGATTCACTCGCCCCTTTGCGGGCAAAAGAATCCTCAGACAAGAAATCCTTCCAGCCCAAGTCGAAGACAGAAGAGTTCAGCCCCGGACGGCAGCGAGAAGAGATCACCTCGGACGACAGAGAGTTGCGGCTGAGTTGCGGCAAGAAATCCTTCCAGCCCAAGTCGAAGACAAGAGAACTTCCAGCCCAAGCAGACGAAGAAGAAGATTACTCGAAAGCCGCAGAGAAGTTGCAGCCAAGTCGAAGACAAGAAAAGTTGCAGCCAAGTCGAAGACAAGAGAAGTTGCAGCCAAGTCGAAGACAAGAGAAGTTCTATCTTAGTCGACGAAGAAGAAGAAATACAACTCAAGTCGAAGAGAAGAATCAACTGCGAATGATCGATAGAAATTAGCCCCAGTGTCGAACTAAACCACACTCCGACATACACAATTCTAAAGAGTAGGCAATTCGAAATCTTTAGGTTGTGTGATAGAAGCTTGTAGTGCCATAGTCCACAGAGCGGGTCGGGAATTGAGAACAATTTTTCTTTATGTAACGGACATTAGATATAAAAAGGTTGTCACTCTTTTTATCAGTAATTTTTTTGTCTCGTGAGTTTTTTTTTTTTTTACTTGTGTTTTGCCACCCCGTCGGACTCAACTTGTATCGGCCCCAATCCCTGCTGGTCCCGTCTGTCTAAGATCTAAACACAACGTGGGTAGACAGACCGGAGATCAGTACAGTTGCTTCAGTAACCAGGTATTGGAAGCGAGTTGGGAAAGGCGAGGCTGGTGATCATCCAACCAAGGGGTTGGAGCGGCACGCTTGGAACCAGGAGGAGCGACCAGGAGGAGCGACGTCACAGTTGGCGCCGTAACCAAGGGATTCGACCCTGGGCCAGGTGTGTAACCGTCACAAAATGACGATGAACAGTTGTATGGTTTGAACTGAGAACCACTGCCAATTCCTCAACTGATAAAGCAGGATTTTCTTCAAGGGCTGCTTCAAGAAGCTTTACATCAAGCTCAACAGGACGTCCGCTTCGACCATCATCTTCAAATGTGAAATCTCCACCTCTTTCATTCACACATTCCTCTCCATAAACTGAGTGAATGGAGACGAGATGCCTGGTTAGGACCGATTGTATTGCAGACTCTTCTCTGGATTTTGTCAAGAATCTCAAGGAGTACCAGGCCAGATTTGGCAACAGTGTTTAATACACAGACAAATGTTTTTTGAAAACATGAATGTGCAGGTTAGTGAATCGAAACGAGAAATCGTCGAGCCGAGTTCAAATTCCGGTCAGGCTCGTTGAATTTAATTTCGTATAAATACCCTTGGGAAAGGTATGAATCTATTTCTTCTCTCCAATCCTATATGGTCAAATAACATGGAAGACTGAACTCTCTGGCCATGGTTGGTAGTCAGTTTAATAGAAAGACAAATGTATGTGACCCTGACGAGGCGCATCCTTGAACTGTAACTAATGTCCGATCAGGATAGTTGCAGTATAAATCACGGAAACACAAAAACGACAGAGAAGACGAGACCAGCAAGTTCAAAAACGAGCAGCTATGTTGAAGATCAGAAACCATGCTGATTTGCAATGTGCCTTCAAATCGATTGATTGATTTGATTTTTACGCACAGCCACATCGAAGGAGAAATCACGCTAAACTGCAGTGTACCATGCTTTTTTAATTATTATTATTATTATTTTTTTTTTTTTTGAGTAAGG